CTTTAATAGAACAAATCATACTATTCTTATTAATAAGAAGTTCAGTATTTAATATAACCATTTGAATTTTTTATGCCAAATAATATGGGAGGTATTTATTTTTATATTTAAAAAAATTCAGTTTTTTTTTTAAATAAAATTTAACAGTATGCACGATTTCAAACTCCGAGAATAAAAAAAATTGTCAGCTAAGAAAAAATTTAAAGAAAATTTATTAACATCGTGTTAATGTTTATTCCTCTAAATTTGATATATAATATTTTTTTCTTTAAAATAATCTTTAATAATTTGTTTTTCATAAAAATCATTTTCTTTAACCCAAGAATTATCATTATTATCATAACCTTTCCATTTAACAAAAAAGGAATATTTATTATTTTCTATTTTATGTTCAATTATGTTTTCTATTTCATATATATTATCATCTTTATTTAGGTTTCTCAAATTTTTTATATTTTATTTGATTTATATAATCTTTTTCTTCTTTTTTTAGTAACTTTTTTAATTTGGGATAGTCTAAATCACTTTCTTCAGTTATATAATTTTCATTTTCATTGTCATTATTATTATTATTAGTAGAATTTATATTTTCATCAATAATCATATTTTCATTTATATCTAATTTTAAAAAATCATTTTGTATTTCTGTTAATATTTTAAATTTATTAATCTGTTTCATTTCATTATTATAAAGAATATCAATTAATCTATTTTCTTGTGGAAAATCAAAGTTATCAGTTTTCTATAATTTATGATGTTCTTGTGTAATAATATTAAATGTATTTGAAAAATTTTCTATATTTTTTAATAAAAATGCTACTTTGATTTGTAAATTTACATATTTAATATCATCTGTCTTTAATGTTGAGTTATTATTACTAAATCTTTTAAACTTATTAAATAATTCTTGAAATTGATTTTCTATTTTACTTCTAAAACTTCCAAAGACTTTATTATAATATATTTCTTGTTCATTTAATTTTTTATTTACTTCTTTTCTAATTGGATAGAAAAAGTTATTATCATCTAAATCATATCCTTTATTATTGCATAAATCTTCAAATTGTTTTATAAACAAGGTGTAACCTCCATCAATAGCTATACAATCTTGCTTTAAAATTTTATTATATAATTTCATATTTAGAAACATCATACCATCATTAACTTTTCCACATAAATCACTATAAGATACATATATTACCATATCATTTATATCTGAAACAACTTGTGTTCTAATACCAGAACTTTTTAATTTATATGACTACCGTTTTTGTATTGATATATTTGGTTTATTGTAAGAAATAGAGCTATCATGTCCATCTAATAATAGTGTAATATTTTTAAAATTTTTAGGGGTTTTAATTAATGCTGATAAAATTCTTATTTTCATATTTGAGAACATATTTAATAGATAATAATTAACTTTTTTATTTAATGAATCATAATTTGTAATCCAAAATTTCTTATAAAATGCATAAAAGCTAGTATATGGAATATATTTTTTTATATCTTTACTAGTACAGGATTTTTCTTCTCCTAGCGGACGTTTGAACTTTTATTTCGGCAGAAGGGATTTAATTTTAGGCAGAGTGGACATGAATGTTAATCTGAGTGGACATGAATGAAAGTTAATCTGGACATGAGTATATAGGTGTTTTTTAGTTAATCCATCCTTAAATATCTCTCCTTTTATAGATCATAGCTCATCTATTATTAATGCCATTGCTATAAAACTTTGTAGGCTTATACAGATGATGTATATACATCTAAATATGTTTTTACTGAAGACAGTCACATTGCTTATTTTAGACACTACATAAGAGGATGTGTAAAAATCACTAAAAGTAGCTTTATTTAAGGTGGATTAAGACTTCTAGTAGGTGCAATATTGTAGCTACAGTGCTGTAAATTGCAGTACATGTATCTATCATATATGGCAGCAACATACTAAAACGGCAATAGCAGTCACATAGTATATAGGCTTTTTTTTAGAAAACTTTATTCTCAGAGCTATTACTAGCCAATGAGATGTACTACAGAGCTATGATAAGAATTCTGTTATATAAATCAAATGCTGTGCAGTCATTGGTAGGCTCAAAATTAGCAGTCACATTTCTAGATTTTTACTTTACATAGTAACTGATGACTTTTTGTAGAGAATTATTTTCTCAAAGGGGTTTCTTGTCAACTAAACACCCTACAGTGCCCTACTAAAAATCCTACTAATTAAGTCACATCTTAGCTAGCTACTCATATAATTGTTATGGCGATTCAACCACATTTTATTTTTCTCATTTTTTTTTCATACTTATAAGTTGCTCTCATTTCGCTCTGAACAGAGAATACCATACCCCAATGTAGTAATGGAAGATACATTTTCTATTTTCCTTCCAAAAGAGGGCTTCTCAGAGGCCTCTATGGTGGCTCGCTCGGATCAATATGAAAGGAAACTGTCACTTGCAACAATAAAATATCGAAAGAAAAATATACTCTCTATTTTTCTTCTAATTTATCAGCTTTTATCATAAAAATAAACAATATTCCACTATAAGCTATTATTCGCCACCCAGCGAAGAAAGCATTGGTAGAGTAATTAAGACAGGGAATAAGCATAGTGTCAACCTATGTGCGAAGCACAAACCGAGCGAAGCGAAGAAAGCATGAGGAGAGTGATTAGGATAGGAATAAAGCATAGTGTAAACCCATGCATGAAGCGCAACTTGAGCGAAGCGAAGAAGCATGAGTAGAGTAGCTAAGAAAGGAATCAAGCATAGCATAAACCCGTGTACGAAGCAAAACCAGAGAAAAGCTGAGAAAGTGCAAGTAGAGTAGTTAAGAAATGAATTAAGTATGACATAAACCCGTGTACGAAGCACAACTCGAGCGAAGCTGAGAAAGTGCAAGTAGAGTAACTAAGATATAGGAATGGAGCATAGCATAAACCCGTGTACAAACCACAACCCGAGCGAAGCAGAGAAAGCATAAGTAGAGTAATTAAGATATAGGAATGAAGCATAGTATAAACCTGGATGATGCGAAGTAACCCGAGCAAAGCGAAGAAAGCACAAGTATATAGGTGTTTTTTAGTTAATCCATCCTTAAATATCTCTCCTTTTATAGATCATAGCTCATCTATTATTAATGCCATTGCTATAGAATTGCCACGGCGATTACTTAGTAGGTGGAGTAGACCCAGTAGACCCAGGTCTACCCCAGGTCTACTCAAAATTTTTATTTGATATTTGGGTAGAGACAAGGTCCAGGAACACGATTTATTATGATGTAAATGCTTACTTACTTAATACATTGTGGAGATATAAGCCATCTACTATTGAGTATAAGGTACCCTCTACTAAGTAGACCTAGTAGACCCAGGTCTACCCCAGGTCTACTCAAAAATTTTATTTGATATTCAGATAGCAAAACAGTCCGGGAACACGATTTATTATGTGGAAAAGTCCGACTTGATTAATAGGTTGTGGAGATATAAGCCATTTACTATTGAGCAAAGGCAATCCGTACCAAGTATGCCCAGTATACCCCAGGTATACCCCAGGTATACTCACAATTTTTATTTGATTTTTGGATAAAGAAATGGTCCAGGAACACGATTTATTATGATGAAAAGTCCTACGTTATTAATACGTTGTAGAGATGTAAGCCATTTAATATTGAGCAAAGGGTAATCTCAACTAAGTATACCTAGTAGACCTAGGTCTACCCCAACTTTTTTTTAAAATATAAATCCATTTGAGAAGTAAAATATATTTGAGAATATAAGAATAGAAAGGGATAAGAGTCAAAAAGAGAGAAAGGGATACAAGATAAAAGAGACAAGAGAGATCTAATATAAAAGATAAAAAGGGGAGTAGAGAAGAAGATATAATAATAGTATATATAAAAAATCGAAAAGAGGAGAGAAGAGAGGAGAAGAGAGGTAAAGGTTCTATGTGATGAAGAAGTGTGATAAAATTATATGGCCTAGATGCATGGCATTATTTGGATATGTGTGGGGGCCAGCAGCTATAAGCCAATAGGCAAAGTCTTGTTGTATTTCGATTGCCGTAAGGTGGTTTTTGTTGTAGCCAGCTTGGCGGATAAATTGGGGCTTACGCCGATAGGCTGCCCAGCAGAGACGGTATAAGAGGTCCTCATACGTACCACTGCAGTTTGACCAGTTACCATCATGGAAGATGGTTTGGTTCCACTGATTGGGCACAAGGCATTTCTTACAGAAGCCATCCCTTACTGGCTTGACACATGCAGGATTTGATACATAGTGGTCACCAAAACAACGGAAACATTGACCAATATGAGCAATACACTGGGGAGAGGTTGCATGCTCACTTTCAGCTATGCCAAAAGTGAATAAGCAAGGTATAAACCTATGTCGGACACATTTAAGCAGGGAAAAGTGAAATGACAGTGACCAAACAATGACCAAAACTTTATTTGGTCAATGACCAGATTTTTCCCAAAAGGAACAGTGGTGGGGGGAGCATTTGCAAGAATGGGGGGAAGGCGATGACCAGTAGTGACCGAAAGGGAGAGGCGATGACCAGAGGCGATGACCAGCGGAGAAAAAAAAAGGGGAGGCGATGACCAGGGGCGATGACCAGCGGTGACAGAAAGGGGGAGGCGATGACCAGAGGCGATGACCAGCGGAGTAAAAAAGGGAAGGCGATGACCAGAGGCGATGACCAGCGGAGTAAAAAAGGGAAGGCGATGACCAGAGGCGATGACCAAAAATTTCCAAAAGCGTGTACGCTGACCAGAGGTGATGACCAGCGATGACCAAAATTTTCTAAAAAGGGATTAGCAAAGAAGTATCGATGACAAGCTCAGATGGAAAAAAAACGATAGCAAGCGGGAGGCAGAAGGTACATGGGAAAACGGCAAGGTAAGGCGAAAAGGGGATAGCATCTTCGGTCATGAGCGCCGTGTTTGGCAAAGCCCGCTCCACAAAAAATTTTTTTTTACGAAAGGCAGCTTCTGCATCTCTTTCGCTCCTTCACTTCTTTTTCCTCTACTTGTTTTTTTTCTTACGTACTGCTCGCCGCCATTGCAACACTCGACCTGCTCAATTGCCAACTCACACACGCTCCATTGAATTCAGCTTTGCCGCATCTCACGTTCCTTTCAGTCACCACTCGAGCAACACTTGTCCTATACGCTTTCTTTATTCTCAACACTCGAATATTACGCATCTCGCACTTATTTTTTTCAACACCTTTGAACATCTTTCAAATGAATTGCATCTCTGACAACGGCCTGGTCTCTGTCCTTCATTTTGCCATGATCTTATGATCCCAGGACCAAGCTCTTTATTTCTGTGTTGCTAACGTCAACTCTGTCCGGCGTCGTTTTCTTCTTTGCTTGGCCCTCATCAGGTACTTGAACATTTTCTACAAAATTCAGCACTGAAATGGCTATTGTATTTTACGTATATGATACTAAAGAGCACATAGTCTTTGTCCCAGTGGATTCTTTGTTCCTACTGTGGATGGACTCGACCACTTTTTTATTCTGTTTTCCTTCGTAGTAACAACTGCCGCAGCATTGTCGATCGACGAGAGCAGCAACATACATCAGCAGCAACAGCAGCACTCTAGCAACAAACTTTACAACAAACGGACGCAACATCTCTGCCATTACAACTAATTGGAATAATGAAATTGCCAGTTGAATGACCTGCGAGTATCTCAGCGTGACAACAACACAAGCACAGCAAAACCTACAGCAGTCTGCACCGTAACGGCCGGCTTTCTTCTTTTGACCGTAAGTGTCTATTCTTTTTTATTAGGCAAACTGGCAAAAAAAAAGCAGCTATTCGCACACGGCTATATATCACCATTGAGTACTCCAATTAACGTTCTGTTTACTGTGACAGAATAAGGACGGCTGACAAACGCGAAGATACGGGTCCGGTGTAACTAGCAACTCTTATCCACGAGCACGAGCAGCAATGGTACACGTGTATTATATAGTGGATCATCTATATACGCCAAATTCAGCTAAAAAGTTGCGATTCACACACGACGATATCTCACCATCGAATAATATAAATAACCATTGGTTACAGCGGCTGGATAAAGACGTGCGGACAAAGGCGACGATGGCAGTTTGGTGTTTCTAGCACGTCATGTCAACGAGCAACAGAGGTGAAAGGAGTGTGCAGATTATTTTTAGAGCAAGAGCGGCTTCAAGCAAATGAGTACTAGTACAAGGATCCAGGCATGGCGGTATCTCATTATTACACAGGTGAGGAAGAGAAGGATACCAAGGATATAAAGATAGCAAAGCTGGTTCCTTTTTTTATTGCGGTGTGGAAGTGGTGGTTATCTTCAGGTAAGGAAACAATAGCATTTTTTGAGTATATAATATTAGCATGCTGTAATAAATTGGTATTTCATGAATTGAGATTCTGTTGTCGTTTGATATGCAAATACAGCTCCATATGCTTCAAGCTTGAAAATACATTAGTAAATGTGGTATCTGCGGTTCTGATGCATGTTCATATATGAAGCTTTACTTAGTGGAAGCTGATGAGTGAAATATCCGCTGTTGCTATAATAATGAAGGAGATACTATAGAATAAAAATGACCGGTCTGTGTATTTCCTGAGTAAGAGACACTGCATTTCCCCAGTTGAGAGTGAAATCATTGAAAAGAGAACATCAGCAACAAGTTGTATCGAATACGTCGTCGTTAGAGCTTGTAGTTGTGGAGTTTAGATGCTAGTGAAAAAAAAACAGGAACAGCAGCATTTTTATACAGGCTTCTTGCTTATACAGACACAAATGCAATGCTTATGTTCACGCGATCCAACAGATCTTACTGCTGCATTGGCCAGATGTCCAGCAGCTATGTTACCCATGAACATAGGACATTGTGGGGCATTAAGACACTCAATAGGCTGAAAAGAAGGGTATTAAGCGCAACGGGTTTAGGGGCCTGGCAGCGAACGCCAGTGAGCGAGCAGGTTTAGTCGAACGCGCAAGTCCTGGTGCGGGTTTACTAAGGTTTCGGGTTTAGAGTTTCCAATTGATGAGCTTGGATGTATATGGGACTATCTTCTTCTTCTCCACCACCGCTTATTTTGGATTGTTTTATTTGTTGGCTATTTTATATACTTCTTGGATGCTGTATGTATTTGTACGTGTATTTGAGAGATAATTAACGTATATCGGATACGATTTAGCAGAGGAAAGTGAAATGACGGTGACCAAGATTTTGTTGTAAAAGAAGTGTTGATGAGAAGCTCAGACAAAAAACGAACGATAGCAAAGGAAGGGCAGGAGGAACGTAAGGAAATATGAATAGGAGTTAGCATCCATGGTCGTGAGTGCCGTGTTTAGCACTCCACAAAGAAATTTTAATTACAAAAGGACACTTCTGCATCTCTTCCGCTATTTCATTTCCTTCTCCTCTGCTTGTTTTTTTAATTACTAGCTTACTACTGGCCACGATTCCAACACTCGAACTGCTTCAATGCCATCTCGTACACGCTCCATCAGATTCCAGCTTTTCCGAATCTTGCAACCTTTTGAACACCACTCGAGCAACACTCGAAAAATTACTTTTTCTTTCAACGTCATTGAATGCCCCTCGATTGAAACGGATCCCTGTCAAGTACATGGTTTACGAGCACCAGCAGCAACGGTACACGTGCATTATTATACATTGGATCATCTATATACAGCAAAATCAGTTAAAAGACAGCGTTCTGCACGACGATATCTCGCCATCAAGTAATCTACATAACGACCTGCGTATCATGGAAACATAAGGACGCGCGGACGAACGCGACGATGGTAGTATGGTGTTTGTAGATCAAGAGTAACTTCAAGCAAATGAGTATCATTAAAAGGATCCAGGCATGGTGGTATCTTCTATTACACAGGTGAGGAAGTGAAGGATACCGCGGATATAAAGATAGCAAAGCTGGTTTCTTTCTTCGATAGCGGTGTGGAAGTGGCGGTTATCTTGAGGTAAGGAAGCAATAGCATTTTTTAAGTGTATAGTATTGGCATGCTACTGTAATAAACTGCTACTTTATGAAATGAGATTCTGTTGTCGTTTTAAAATAAAAGCAGCTCCATATGCTATAAGATTAAAAAGTCGTTAATGAATGTGGCATCTGCGGTTCTGATGCATGTTCATATATGAATATTCAATCAGTGGAATTTGCTGGTAGTATACTCACGGTCTATAAAGCTTTACTGCCATAATGTGCCTTTGAGGACTCAATAATAACAATGTCCTTGAAGTTTGTATTCAAGTAGCGATGGATGAATCCGGCTTGACCGCGGAATCTGCTGGCCATTGAACGGCTACAATAGATGACAGCTGGATAAATAGTGCTCCCGGTCTATCCATGACATTCAATTGGTCAAATAGTCCGTAACGTACGGACATTTTAGCAGCGGTAAGCCTATGTCACGACCAAAAAGTGACCAGCGACCATCAGAAATTCACGATGACCAGGGGCGATGACTAGTGCGGAAAAATAGGAGAGGCGATGATAAGAGCAATGACCAAAAATTTCCAAAACAGTACACGATGACCAGAGGCGATGACCAGCGGAGACAAAAAAAGGAAGGGCAATGACCAGCGATGACTAGAGGCGATGACCAAAAATTTCCAAAAGCGTGTACGATGACCAGAGGCGATGACCAGAGCGATGACCAAAATTATCTAAAAAGGGACTAGCAAAGAAGCGTTGATGACAAGCTCAGATGAAAAACGAACGATGACAAGGAGAGGGCAGGAGGAACATGGAAAAACGACAAGGCAAGGCGAAAAGGGGATAGCATCGGTGACCGATAAGCACCGTATTTGGCAAAGCCCCCTTTTTTCCGAAGGTACTGCTCTCCCCAGAGAATTTTTTTTTACGAAACGATGGCTTCTACATCTCTTTCTCTCCTCCACTTCTTTTTCTTTTACTTACTACTCACTGCCATTACAACACTCGACTTGCTTCGTTACTGTCTTACACACGCTCCTTCTTTATCGAGCTTTGCCGCGTCTTGCAACCTTTTAAACAACACTCGAACAACACTCGAATATTGCGCATCTCGCACAACAACCTTGGCCGCCCCTCGATTGAGACGCATCTCTTACAACGACTTGGTCTCTGCCCTCCATTTGATGTGCTGCTTTACTTTTCATTTTCCTAGCAGCAATCGAACCATGCTAGGTCCAAATTCTTTGTTTTTGTATCGTTACTGTCGACTCTGTCTGGCATCTCTCTTGCTTTGCTCCCACGAGGTACTTGGACATTCGATACACGTTTCAGAAATGAGGGTGGCTATTATACTTTATATATACGTTACTAAACAGCACATTTTTCTTTTGTCGTAGTATTGCCGCTCCCAGCTATAGCTGTTGTTTGTAAGTTATGCTACTATTACTTTTTGTATATGATGCAGCTTCGGAATTGTTTCTAAAAAACATGATTGAACTTTTACTAGTATAGACCATTGTACAAGCTCGCGATCCAACGGACTGGCGTCATGCTGTTTTGCACTAGGGGTAGGTTGACTGTGTTTGATGGGTTAATACGGTTGTTTGTAGCACTGTCCGTCCATTGTCTATCCGTGTCAAGATGCTTCTGGTTTTGGAGAAGATACTCTTTTCACTTGAGCTTGTCCCGTTCTTGACATGAAGAGATAGGATCCTTTATACATCACAAGGTATGTGCGGCTCAAGTATGCAGATACCGTATATCATGCAA